AAAGTTAATTGTTTTATTGGTGTTAGCAGAAGATCACGTGAACCATAGCTTGAACTGTTAGCTGTCAGCTTTGGAAAAAGTTCCTTTGTGATATAAATAGACATGCAACTCGTTCAAAGTGACATACCTCACTGTATGTACAGTTTGATGATTTCTAACTGAATATGCAGAATGTTGATATAATGTCTAGCCCAGCTTCAGTGATCTTGAGAAGAAACTTTCATATAAGCATTGGTTCAACAATGCTTCGTTTTCAAGATTCATGGTATAAAATCTTGTTCTCATTCTCTTTGAGAGAGACCTAATAATCTCTTAGCCGATTTTGTTCAAATTTAGGACTCGAACATATTAAAGATTAGCCAGAATGATTTAAAGAGAACTGGGAAGAAGATAGATTACCAACGGTCTATAGTTTTGAGAGGGACATGAAATTAACCATTGAGGAAGTGTCATCAATCAGCCGGACTGCCCTTCTCCGAACCGTGTAGTAGGCGCAGCAGTACTCCAGACATGTCAAGAGTAATCCAGTGAAGAAAAGTATGCTTAGCCCTAAACAAATAGCCTAGCCTATTCCCAGCAGCTGAGCTGTGTTCGTGCCAGATCAAATCATCGGCCATCCATCGAAACCGGATGGGCGCTAAGGAGTTTCATGTCAATCAAGGTAACAGTATTGTACTTTGGAAGCACTAAATTGTACCAGATTGTTGCGACCCCAAGCTGTGATTACCTGTAGGTCTCTCTTCAGAGAGGAAGTCGCTGCTAGTCTTCTTTGCTCTAGTAGAGATCGTCTTGTCACTCATATAGAGTTCTGTCATCAGCAAAGCTGTGGATCAGATTGATCTTACAGGAAAGGCGATCGTTGATATGTAAAAGGAACAATGTCGGAGCAAAGAATGATCCCTGGGGAACACCCGCGCTGACATTGAGGGATGAAGATGAGAACACGTCAATTACGATGGATATCTCCCACTGAGGATCGCTGGTGCCGGAAACCATACTGCAAGCGGTGAGTTTAAGGTACCCCAGAAGCTAGCGATTTATGCACCTCTCCATCACCTTACTTATAACAGAAAGGTCTGTAATTGCAAGTATCGATCTCAGGATCTTTTTTTTTTTTGATGTTCTGGGCATGAGCGAATTTTTTGTTTTCTGGGAAAGTGCCGGATTCGTAAGATACCTGGAAGAGACGCGAAAAAAATTGGAGCAAGCTTCGCTGCACATCTCTTCAGTGCAACAGGCTGGGCAAGAAGCTTTGTTAATATCAAGCATCTCACAGTCTTATGCCTGAAGGTTTGAGCGCGTTGTGTGCCGTTCGGCTTTAGATGATGTTACAGTGAAGCACCAAATTTTAGTAGTATGAGCGATGCAGTGGAGGATACTCTGGCAAGAACTGTATCTACTAGGACGATCATCTTGCGAAAGTATTTTGTATTATCGCTGGAACCCCACTTGTTGTTCATTCACATCCCAGTAACAGATTAACTCAAACATTCATCAACTCGCGTTCAATCGAAAATTAGAGTTTTAGCCCATGCATCGGGAGATTTCCATACCGTTGACACAAAGCCTTGCACGTGGACACCGCCCTTTGCCCTCTCAGCATGTGCTTCCACCCACGCTACTGGCTGAGTTCCGCGTAAGAGCATCGGAATTATATTTGATGGGATTACGAGATTGACAAATAGGATGAAGGGGCCGTAATTGCGTGAGTTAGGAGTTCGCTGCAAGTTCTTGCCAGAGATGAGTGCATCTCCCACGTCTTTCATAGTTTCCTCGCAGCAAATTGATTTAAAAATCAAAACAAAACGAACAAGAGGAAAAAGTGACGTAGCTGCTTACTGCAGCGTCTTTCGTAATCTCAGTTTAAGTGAGGCAATTAAAGTTTGATTGCTTTCCGACAAACTACGTGCTTTAATGCTATATTCTGTTTTTGAGATGATGCTGCTTAGGTAATGGAAGTTTAGTAAAGTGGGGATGAAATTAAGGAAGAAGTTTGCAGGAATTTTTGTCGTATAATTTTCATTTAGCTGAGCATCTCCCAGATACAGTTCAACGACTTATTTCAGAAACAACACTTTTGTGTTGTTATGTCGACGCTTCTAGCAGTCGCTTATACATTATGCTTCGTACTTAAATGAGCATACTAAAATTTTATACCTAGAATATTACAATATGGACCGATACATTCTCAAAATCTGAAAATAAAAAAGTTCTAAATTCAGTTTTTGCGGATATACATGGTGATTTACCTAAACACGACAAATCTTTAATATCACGCACAAAGTTACCCACGTAACCTAAAACCAGACGGACCGTTAGAAAACTCTGGGCCGTACTCGTTTTTTCTCACTTTTTTGACTTTATTAAAACCTTTTAAGCTGAATATTGAAATGTTTGACCATGTACAAAACAGCCAATAAATAGTGCTAATTGATCATCAGAGTAGATTGATTGCGCATGTTGTTTCTTAGTTAAACAGTCTCTTTATTCAAACATATTATTTTTTGCAGATTATGTGTGACACCAAAGTTAAAATTTTATCAATTGGTTTCATCAATATCTTACAAAATAGTGCTTAAAATTAGATCACAGATGTCTTAGGAACTCAAAATTCCAAAGTCGAGTCCAGTCCTGAATTTTTTACTTGTCTGTCTAATCTTATGTTACTCCTGTAAAGGTTCAACAAAATTGGTCCATTGGTGCCTGATATGTGTAATGTTAATGATTTGGCAGGGCTAGATGAATCATCCGGAATTTATAACTTTTTTATTTTCAGATATGGAAAGGTGTCGGTCGGTCATTTCACCATGTCCATTTAAGTATGAAATACGATCTATAGTGCATACCTAACAGATGATGTGAACGGGCACAGAGCAGCATTTACGCACAGTTATTGGCCTAACGTTTGCATAAAAAATATGAGAACGCTGAGGCTCTACATACCAAATTTGAAGAAATAATAACCAAGAACTATTGACGAATTGCATATTACGTACTCCAAAATCAGCTGCGTTCATGTATTTAGAGCGAACCTAAGATCATGCCACAATGAATGTCGCATTAGAGATTCTTCGTTCAACAAAATGGCAAATGACAGTTTGCTTGAAAATACAGGGTGCGGCAGAGAGGATGGACGGTTTTAAAAACATCATCAAAATAGTTAATTTTTACTCGAAAACAGATTTATTGAAGGAATAAGGTTCACAAGGAAATAGCATTTGAGACAATCAAGTGTGGAAAATCACATCAGGCATGTGGTGGCGTTCTTGGAAGTTCGCGTAGACTCTCTCCAACATCCCTCTCAACTTGGGCGACTTCCACGCGAATTTCGCCCTTCAATTCGTCCAGAGTTCGGGGCTTGTTCGCGTATACTCTAGCCTTGAGGTGTCCCCATAAGAAAAAATCGCATATGGATAAATCTGGGGACCGAGGAGGCCAATGAACATCGCCAAACCTGGAAATAAGGCGACCAGGGAAGAGAGGGCGAATAACGTCCATGGATGCTCGGGCTGTGTGGGCGGTCGCCTCATCCTGCTGGAACCCCACACGTCGCCATCGTAATTCAGGGAGAAAGAAGTTGGTGATCATGTCGACGTAGCTCGCTGAGTTCACGGTAACATCACGACCATTACCGTCTTCGAAGAAGTAAGGGCCAATGATGCAAGTTTGCGATACAGCGCACCAAACCGCTACTTTTGGGATGTGCAGCGGTCATTCGTGTAACTGTTGCGGATTTTGATTAGCCCAATAACGACAATTTTGCTGGTTAATCATGCTGTTTAGGTGAAAGTGGGCTTCGTCACTCATAAACAAAATGAGGTTCTCATTTTGATCGATCAGTGCTTCCATCTCACGTGCGAAGTTCATTCGTTGTGCATAATCTCCGGGCTGTAACTGGTTGCACAATGGCCAATTTGTAGGGGTGAAAGCGGAGATCCATATGCAAAATTCGCCTTACCGAACGATCACCAAGGCGAAGTGCAGCAGTATGTTTCCGGGCAGATCGAGTCGGACTGCGAAGAAAGACCTGTCGAACGCGTTCAACATTTTCAGGAGTTCGAACTGTTCGCGGCGCTCCTCTTGGTCTTCTGTTGATCAGTTCACTATGCCTGCGAAGTGATTCAACCCAACGAAAGATGGTGTTTCGAGCTCTATTCCGATGAATGTTGAAGTGGCGACGAAACTCACGCTGAACGACGATGACTGACTCATTATTTTGGACGAAACAATCATAGGCGAAAATGCGGTGCTCCACCGTCCAAGGCTCCATAACGACAACTGGTGAAATAATGCTAGTATCTCACGAGTCAAACGGTACCCTCTCCATCTCTCTCGTAGACGGAGGCGGAGAGTACTCCCCATCCCAAAAACGTCCGTCCTCTCTGCCGCACCCTGTACTTACTTTTTTCTTCGCTATTAACGACCTTTGTCCAAAACCCATCCTAAAATCTAATAGATTGCTAAAGGTGACAGCACGGTGACAAACAATGACAAGAATCACAAAAATCAAGTTCCAGTGTCGCAAGCGAGAATATTTGGCACGCGGCACTCAGGTCTAGACGAGAACACCAATTTGCTGAAGGGTTCGACTTTTTCGTGCAACAAATCTTGCTAGTGAAACTCGAGAACACGTATTACCATTTGCCTGATAGACTACCGTTAATGCGACGCTAAAAGCGCGTTCGTGTAACATGTTACTAAGGATTTGATACAAGTTAAACTGATCCGAAAAAGACACTTATTTTCGACCTTTTATATCGCTCGCCTTTTATTAGACTATTCTGGTCAAATACCTCTATATATTAACACTGTTGTTTGAATCACGTACAGGCTGTCTTATTTCAATCATCTAGCTTATCTGGAATTTCGACATGTTTGAGCTTGGAATCCCCAATCAAGGCTTCATCTTCCTTCTAGCGTGACTTCTACCGGTTTAGCTTCTACTTATTGAATACTTAATAATCATAGAACTGAATAAAAGTAAATACATCCCTACGCCAATGTCCATTGCTCAGAGCAGACGATATCAAATTGGATTACTGTCAATACACCGGAATAGTCCTTATCGCTATATCCGATTCTTTTCCTCCTTTTTCCTTTGCTCTCCTAAATATACTCGTACTTTTGATATTTCCAATTTGTTTCGCGACATTCCTGATATCATTCGCCATTATTCTGATATTTCAGTGACAGCTGTCTCCAATTTCAAATTTCACGTCGTCATATACTCACATCTGCGAGTCTTTTGATACCACATTGCGGGTGAGCGAATATGTGGATTCTGGTTTATATTGGATAGGTGGCAAAGTTGTGTCGAAGTGGTAGACAATATTTCAAAAATCAGATCAAAAAGCTCACGAATCTTCCGACTTTGTTGCAGCTAAAATTAATTCCTGCGGAATACCTGTGTTAACAAAAAGTTACCACGGATATATTGAAATAGGAAGCAAGCCTACCACCAATTTGCAGAGACGTCCTGAAAAGCCATACTAGTGAGATCGAAGCTAGCTGAGGAGCGCATCAGTCCACAGTTGACCAAAACTTCTTGTACCATCAAAAGCAACGGTCTCAGCTTCCCCAAACGGCAAGACAAGCTTCATAAACATGTGTTATAAACAAGGTTGTGTAAATAATAATTTTGTTTTTATCCGTCCATCAGCATGGTCTAGGCTAGATCTTTGGGCATGACAACGGACGAACGCACAGCAAAGTATCCTCTATCTGAGATATAAGGTCTATCAAAGTATGACAGCACAAAGTACCATCTATTACCAGAATCGACGTCTGCAAGAGTAAGCGGCAGCTCTATTAGAATTATAGGGTATCTCATTTCGCGTCTGAAGCCAAGTCACCGCTATGACTGTTTAATGCCGTCGATTATGGGGACATAGCAGATGATGATCTTTGGCATCATGGTCGCGCATCGCAGCTTCGTGGTCCTATCGCTGTCGCCGCCCGGAACGGTACCTTTAAGCATGTATTATTTAATCGTGGCACGTAATTACTTTAAAGCTACATTCCTTGAAATTTTCATTTTTGGTGCACTTGGGCAACGTGCAACATAACCATGGTGTTATTTCGCAACGTATCCGCTTGCTTTTGGCATTTCAAACAGCTGCACTATTGAGAGTGTTCTGAAGATCGAGAGTTTCCAGTAGCTCTGAGGTTCCATAACAGATAGAGTGATTGTGATAATTTGATGCTAAGAGTGGCAAATTTCTCCATAATCACAAATAGCTGTCAAAGCATAAAATTCTTAGGTATACACTTAGATTCGTGTTTGAGGTTTTTAAAGGTCTTAATATTCTACCGTTCCCAGTCTATTCATTTTAAAAATGTGTGTGCACGTCTTAAGACGGATATTAATAAACCGTCCAAGGTCTGTATATCCGACAAAGTAATTATTTGTTTTTACGTACCATATGGGAAATAAAGAATTGGCATGTACGCCACTGATTGTCTAGGTATAAGACTACTAAACGCTTTACCTAGAACTGTAAATGTAAATGCATTCCCCCCTCACCAAAAAAAAAAAAAAAAAAAAACCTAGAACTGTTAATTGACAATTTTAATCTGATTGTGAAGTGCCTCAAGAAGTTTTTCATTGATCAATGTTTTTGTAACGTTGATCAATTCTTCATGTTCTTAACAAATCCATGTAGTGTAGTTTAATGAGGTTGAGTATGTTCCATTATTACTTTTTTCATTATTGCTTTTAATGTGTATATTCCATTTGTACCTTCCTTTAGGTGCTATGAATTCGTTTTTCTATCCTTGACCATGCCAATACGATTTGTTACAAATTGTCTTTTTGGTGAATAAATATCATTATAATTATTATAAATTACTACATTTAACATGGCAGAGATAAGCTAAAAGCTAAAAATTCGATTGTTGATTTGATAAGAAAATTCAAGTACCACCCTGTTACATGTTGCTTTATACCTAAGTACTGTTCGAAGTTGTCGTTCTATAGTGTATCTAACGAAGCTACAAAGTAATCGTAAACAGTGGTTGATTCGTGATCAACGCGTGATCGGTAGCTATGGCGCTCTGTCGGCCTCTTCCTGATTGGCTTGTAGCGACGAGCCTCCAGACAAAGTCGCACGGTTGCCACGCTCGGCGAGTTTTCGCCAGAGTGGTTGATCACATTCGCATGGATCACAAATCAATCTGTTGGTGCAATACGTGCAATAACTGTTGTAAAGGACATTATATAACAATAAATGGCATCACAAAGGTATATTCCAATTTGATCTGCAGCAAATTATGAACGGCATATACGGAGATGCGAAAACAAGCTCAAAAAGGTGAAGAAAATTTTCGTGCAATCTTTATAGTTAAATTTTTCCTAAGAGATAGCATCAGTGAGGGAATTTTTTTCTATTGTCTTATTTTTCACATTAATGCGATGTCGAGGTATGTGGCCCTAGCGCAATTGAAAATAAGGTTTCGATAATCCTTCCATAAAGTTTCGATGAGTACATCTGAAATAACCTTGAGATATTCTTCAGGGAAATACAAAAATCTCCTTTTGTGTTTTTTTGTGCAGATTTATCTATTAAAATCCTATCCGCAATCTATTTTCCGTGCACACACCTTCAACCGAATGTATGCCATATATGATATTACCGTTTCCAACTTTCACCAAGGTTAATAGGAACCATAACAGCTCCCTACCCTTCCCCCCTATAAGAATATCGATTTGTAGCCTCACATTTCAAGGTTAGACTTCTTGTAATGTTTCTGTTCAAGATTCGGCGATTTCTGACAATTTTCCCAATAAAACATGATCATTGTGACATTAAGCCTGGCAACGCTGCATAGCAGAGGGAACTCTCAGCGTCACGTTGATGGTTCGTCACCACGCACAGGATTGTAATCAGTTACGGATACCCGTTTATGAGCGCGAACGTTTTATGCACGTCTTAACTTGATTTTTCTTGCGGAAATTTAATATTAGTCTAAAATGTCTGACACAGATACAGCTGATGAAGTGGTTGAAATCAGCTTAACCCAGAAAAAGGGCTAAAAAGCTTCATCTTAGCGCAGGTGAAAACAAATTATTCTAAATATCTACAAGAACCAGATGCAAGAGAATAGTGGATTGGCTATAGAAAATATCGTATGTAAGATTGCTGAAATTTCTGGAGTAGGTCGATCAAGTGTTTACAAAATCTTGAAGGAATATAGACAAAATCACTCACTATCTGAGCCAAAAACATATCCAGCGAGAAAAAAAAATCATCGAAAAAATAGATGACTTTGACAAAAGTGCCATTAGAAGAAAAGTACATCACTTTTTCTTCAGGAATGAAATACCTACAATAGATAAAATATTGAAGCAAGTGAATGATGATGAGGACCTGCCAAATTTTAAAAGATCTACGTTCCATAAGCTGTTGAAAGAACTAGACTTTCGATTTTTGAAAAGAGGAAGGAATAGTTTATTGATAGAAAAGGAGGAAATTGTTATCTGGAGTAGAGAATACCTTAGAAAAATTACGCAATTCCGCGCTGAAGGAAGAAAAATTTATTATTTAGACGAAACATGGGTGAACGCGGGGCATACGCAGGGAAAGGTTTGGGTAGACAGATCTGTGAGGTCCTCAAGGCAGGCTTTTTTAGAAGTCCTTTCGACAGGATTGAAAAATCCTGCAGGTAAGTTTCGAAGTATATGAACTTTTTTGGATGCAGATAATTCATTTTCTGATCGAATCAATGATTTGGAAGCTCCGAACTCAGTTTTGCTATCTCATCCAAGTTTCTGAGTATTTCCTTCACCCAAAAACTAATCTAAGACCCTATCCTACACTAACCTAAAAAGAGTAAGTTGCTTAATTTCGTCATTTAGTGCGCTCGCTGAGAAGTAAAGTAACTAAGTACTTTCAGGCAAGGGAAAACGCCTGATCATTTGCCACATAGGTAGCGTAGATGAATTTGTTCCTGAAGCATTGTGGGCATTTGAATCCAAAAAAACTGGAGACTATCACGAAGAAATGGATGGTAACTCATTTGAAAATTGGTTCAAAAAAATTTTGCCGACACTTGATGATAACGCAATTATTGTGATGGATAATGCCCCGTACCACTCCAGAAAATTGGAAAAAATTCCAACAATGGCCACCAAAAAGGCAGACATTCAACAGTGGCTTGTCTCAAAGAAGATCGACTTCGACCAAACAATGGTCAAAGCTGAGCTGATAAATATAGTCAAGCGACATAAGTATAAATATGATTTAAAAATTGTTGACGAAATGGCCAAAAACCAAAATAAAACGATTCTCAGGCTGCCTCCCTATCACTGCGAACTGAATCCTATCGAGTTGATTTGGGCCGACATCAAGCAATACGTGGCATCAAATAACAGCACTTTTAAGTTTTCTGACCTTAAAAAACTGTTTGATGTTGCTGTCGATAGAATTACGCCAGCAAAATGGAGAACATGTATTGACCATGTCCAAGAGAAGGTTGAAACCAAAATGTGGGATACGGACAATATCATTGACACCCAAGTTGAACCCCTTATAATTGACATCAACAATTCTGATGATTCAAGCTCCTCGGAATACAGCATATAAATCGATTGATACCATTAAGACTGGCAGTTTAACGGGCTTTTTGGCAAGACAGGTAAGTTCATTATAGACTGCAATCAAAGTGTAAGTTTCTAGTTATTAATTTGGAAATTCCAAATTTATAATTACACAAAATTAGGGTTAATTTAGGAGTTCCAAGGCATAATAGTGCCATTTTGACCTTCTTCCTATTTCTCATGTAAATTTTAATAGCAATCAAAATAACAAACTTTATGGAGTCTGTAATAAACTTTTGTACTACTACTACTACGTCTGTAGTTTCTATTTGCTCAAAAAAATTTGCTCTGCATTGTGAATAGAAGGTTGATTTATAAATATTATTGGGTATATATGTAAGTTAATAATAAAATATGAACAATTTCAATTGAGATGGTCCACAAGTTTTTTTCGTGTGCGTTTTAGTAACATTTTGCTGAAATGGTGAATACAGAATTTTTTGCACTGATTCCTAATGTCGAAATATGATTAGAAAGGCGTGGTATATTCCTGATAATTTACTATGCTTTTGATAGAATTTACAGCAACACATATCTTGTACGACATTTTTTGATAGATCAGTCACAATAGCTTGTTACGGCCCTGTAGCGTCTCCTACGGTTAAGTTCTTGATCACGTGCAATACGGGTGTATATGTTTGATTTTACTTTGTTTCTTCGATGGATACAGTTTAGGTATAGACAGCCTTTGTAAGAGATAAATAAACGTGTGAGGCGCAGGGTGGAAACGTCTAGGAAAATGATCTGCACACACTTGCGAGGAAAAACCACTCACCGTATCAACACGTTTATTGCCTCTAAGTTCCTATAGGAATGTGCGATTTTCAGTTTGTCAAATTCGAATTATAGATAAAAATCTTATTTTACCTACACAGCGCACGGCTCCTGGATTGGATACCAATGCATGCCGTATCTTTTCACATAATCGCTTGCTGATGGCAGGCTGGATTTGATATCAATAACTCTGTTGTCTTGAGACTATGATGTATGTGTTAGAAATACTTATTTTTTATTTTTCACAAGAACTATGCACTTTGTGAAGGAAAATCCCAATAGACCC